CCAAGGAAATGCCCTCCTTCTTTATCCCACACGATGGAAGAAAAGCGGTCTGGGAAGTTAGAACACATAACCTACAATTACAGAAGAATTCAAGATCTCATCCTATCCCTCTTAAATAGCAAGCGATTGCTGTACCAGTAAATTGCTGAAAATCGGACACAATTATTTTTTAATGATCATAAAATGCACCGCTGAGTCATTCCTTGCCTACCTTCTTCACAATTCCTGACTTTCCAGCAGCACAGTCTCACTAAGAATTCACTAAAGGCCGGAACGGGAACAATGCTGTCCTCCAACAACAGACACTCCAAAGGGACTCTCTTTGGCTTTATAATTAGTTTCAACTGTACACGGTGGTACAGAAAGATAAGAGAAAACCGAAGATGACCAAGTTGACTGCAGAGCATCAGAGTCATACTTTCCCATCGCTATAATTACCATTTTAAACAGCTCATAAAGAAGAAACTGATGGAAAACGGCGTTATTTTTACCTTACATCCGTGTCAGCAAAATCTCATTAACCAGATTCTAAGGCAGCTAGGTTGTTACCTTTTCCTGGCTCTCTTTAAATTACAGTATCTATTAAGCAAAGGTTCATTTCTGTACTTTTAAAGAACAATAGCAACAAGCAACATAGTCTTTAGTTCTTCTCAAAAGGTGGTAACATTTACAACCACTGGAATTTCCCTAAGTCTCAGTCTCCTACAAACTGTTTGGATCACATTGAATTCACGTTGTGTTTACTTTCAAGAAATTCTGGAAGCAAATATTACCGAATGTATCAGCCTAATTTAGAATTAGCAGCATGAATTTGTATGCCGTTCATTCCAGTACATCGTGCATGTCAGAACTGTGTCATCCGGGGTACTAGCTATACTAGCAAATGCCTTTCTTAAGAGCCAGTGCTGATGTAAACTCTACCCACCATATACCGATAGTTAATGACAATGAATTTAATTTAATTTAATTGCTCCAAAGGAAGGCCAGACAAATGAAACAACTCGACTGATGGCAGATTAATTAATTAATTAAAATATAAGTAAAATAAATTGAAAAGAGCTTTTCTTGATAGCCCCCCCCCCAGGGTGATTTGCTACTCTGTTTCCATGTACAAATACAATGGCCATTAGTGACATGCCATATTCTTGCTTTCTTTTTAAATAGTCACACGGGTATTTCTCGGCTACAAATACTGAGGGCCTGCATTGTCAATTACTGAGTAAACAGTCTACCTGACTCCTCCACATTCTTGCTTGTATGATCTGAGACATCTTCCCAGAATGTCTCTCCTTGCACCTGACAACGGGTTCAAAGGTGAGAGAAGGCAGAGCAGCAGCGATCTCCCACAGACAAAAAGCAAACATCGGCGGAGGAGAACGGAGGGCAACCTACGGGAGTCTTCCCAGGAATCTCCCCTCTGACAGCCTGCCAGACTCGGAAACGTCTCCTATTCTCATCAGTATGGGATAAGGTAAAAGGCGCATTAGAAAATACTTGGAGATGAGAGAACTGTCCAGAGCCAGAATGCTGCCGCAAACTCGACATCACAGTCTACTCTGCTCCCCACGTTTCTAACTGTCACGGAGCAAAACTTGACAGCCAGACGGGAACAGGGACTGCGATAGAGGTTTTGAGCGTACTGCAGAAAAAAAAAAAAAAAAAAAAAAAAAAAACAGGGCCTAGGGTGTGCTGGGGGCAGTCTTACGGTATTCTTTGTGTACTTTTAAGACCTAATGTGAGCCAGGCACGGTGGAAAGGCTTCTAGAACCTCACTCTTAAGACTAAGTCCAAGGGTCTCGGGAGTTTCCAGTGGACCTTCAACCTATATACAGCCTTTCTCAAAACAAACAGTGGGTATGCTCCAAAAATATAAATAAGTGAATGGATCAGATGACACTGGCTCCCAACAAACAGCATGCCAAAATGTTCTCTCTGAATTGTAACAACTTTATATTTGTTTTTAAATTTAAGAACGGGTCAAATAAACCCGCAGCAGATTTGCTAGTTGAGGCCATTTTTTTCTGGAAGTCATCTAAGCGAATGCTGCTCACCTCTCCGGCCACCATTCCTCGTTCACTCGTGACTTTAAAGGCTCTGCACATGCTGTAGCAGACCGAACAAGTCTCGACACTACCACAGTTGACGCGCACACTCACTCAACCTACCTCTCGAAAGTTGCATTCAGGAAGCACACACATCCAGAGAGCCACAGAAAGCTGTTGTCATATTACTATGAACAAAACCACAAGCAGAGGCCGTCCGTAAACAGCAATTTGTCATCCAGATCACAGCAATAAAGATAACTGTGAAAAAGCCACGGCATGCCAGAGGACCGATCTGACTACTCCTGCATCACACACAGCTACAGACGCCTTTTATAAGAGGAAACAAGGCCTCAAGAGCACAGAGATCGCCTCAAAGATAAACCATTTCCTGTGTTAAGGAATGATTTCAAGAATGACAGATGCCATGAGGTTCTCAGAAAAATCTGGAGTAAAAGCCATGTTCTCACCTGCCACATATTATGAATATTTTAACATAAAAAATAAGTCTGTGATTTTTCCCAGTCAGCATATGTGTTGCTTTCTACTTGTTAAAGATGTATATAATATTCAAGGGGGATCAAAACAGATTATCATCTCAAAATACTAATCCTGAAAAATCCTACAAATGACAAACTGTTGACCAGACCCTCGTGTCAGGACTTTTGAGCCGATGACATAAAATGTTAAAATGCGCAAGAAAGCATAAGAGAACCAAAGCCATGGCAGGGTGCCCACCTCAAACTCGGGAGTCACCAATAACTTGTTTTTCTATAAACAAAGTCTTCCAGTAGGACCCCCGTCAAAAGCAGGTGGGAGACTAATGTTTCCTGCTTTGAATCTATAGCCCACATTTATAATTCACTTCTGCAAAGATACATAAATCAAAATTTTGTGGAGTTATGGGTGTGCCAATGTACTAATGGGAGAAGTCATTTGTAAGGACACAACACTGAAACATAAGGCAAGAGAGCTAGGAAACGGCTGGACCCTGGCTCTGCCATGCTCACTGGTAAACACATAGAGAATGGGTGAGCAATTAGTTCCACAGAGTTTACTTTATGACAATGTCCATCCAAATTCACACCTTAAAAATCCACAGTTTGAGATTTAGAACAGGGAATGCGCCATGACTGTGTACACGGTACTGGTTTTCACTACCAACACTCAGTAGCATCCCAGCTGGTTAGAAAACCAGTTATCTTTTGATTGGAGTTAAACCTCCATTTCATACGTTGCAGAGTTTTGGTCATTCTCTGGTATTGTACACAAAAGGTCTGAATTTTTAAGCCAACAGACACCTCCGACACAACAGTTCTTTGGAATGGATTTGCATGGAGTGTTTACATAAGGATCCATGCCTGCAGAAAAGATAGTTGTGCCTCTGTAGCTCTATTACCAATCTTTTTTTTTTTTTATTTCAGGACTATGTCCTCTTTATTTTGACTATGAATCCTACCTAATATAACCAAAAGAAGAGGAGATGTTTTAGTCTCTCATAAAAGTGAACATAACAACACACACACACACACACACACACAACAACAAACTTTAAAAACCAAGCAAATGTAAAAGGAGTAAGGATCCTGTCTAAGACTCCAGAGACTATGTATCATGGGCAGTGGGTGCTGGGTTACTTTCACCTAAGTGTTCCTGGAGCAAATGCCTTGATTGCTTTGCACTCTAACTGAAAGCTCTGGCTGCATAAGACACTATCTCTGCTCATAACACACACACACACACACACACACACACACACACACACGCCACCCCCAGTTTCAGAGGCACACTCTGCACAGGCTGGTGCTCATCCTGGCTTTGCTCAGGACCTTAATCCCAAGAATAAGTGACACTATTTAATCCTTGAGGATCTGCTGTCCCTCCTCCATTCCACATTGAAATACAGTGAGGAGAGTGGGTTCCCTCCTCCGCAGGAGTGTAGAAAGGACAACTACTTTGTCCCCTTCTTCACCCCAAGCATCCCCGGGGCTTCTCCTAGCCAGCAACCCAGAGCCATCTCTGCCAGTTGTACACATACATGTCATCCTTGGCAATAAAAGAATCAAATTGCCCGTTACCAAGGGGGTGTCAGGAGCTTGGGGGGAAGGGAACCGGGTGAGCTTCCCACCCTAGAGGCGTGCACCAACAGGGAACCCTTTAAAAGCAATGACAGGTCGGCGGCAGCCAGCCATGGGTGACAAGGGAGGTCGACGGAGGACCGCCACCGCTCGCGTCGCTCCGGGCCTGCAGGGAAATCCCGGGGCGGCGGCGGGGGCTCGGGTCGTCCGCCTCCTGGCGCTGCCCCCACGCCGCCCCGCGGCCCCCCGCCCCCGCGGCGCGCGGCAGCCGGAGCTGGGCTCCCCCCACGCTCTCCCGCTCTCTCGCGAGTCCTGTGCAGGCCCTTCCCGCGGAGGGGGAGGGGGCGCCCGGGGAACTGCTGCAATGGAGCGCCTGGAGCACCGTGCCCGGGCGAGCCAGTCCGCGGCAAGCCACGGCCACATAAAAATGCCCTATTAATTTTTTAAAAGCCATAAATCACCTCCCCTCCCTCTACAAAGAGCAAACCATAAACCCGATCCCATGCAAGCCCGCGAGCAGCCACCCACTTCCTATTTCTGTCACAGCAGCTACACCCTGCCAGCAGTCACCCCCCCCTCCAGGCGCCCCCTCCCGCCACCGCCACCCCCGCCACCGCCTCCCAGGCGCTCAGCCATTTGCCAACTGCCGCCCCCCGTCCACAAAAAAAAGAAAAAAGAAAAAGAAAAAAAATGCCCCTATTGGGGCCGGGTGGGCGGTGTGGGGGCAGGGCGCGGCGGAGGAGGTGGGGGGGATCGCCGCTTGCAGGAGATCCTAGAAGGTCCCCGGCGCGAGCCGGAGAGGGACAACCGGGGCGGGGGAGGGGCGGCCGGGCGCCTGCGGCACTCGGTGCACCCCGGGCCGCCGCGGGGCTGCGCTTACCTTTCACCACCCTGTCGGTCGTCGACAACTTGGGATCAATCGCCTTGGGCTCGGACATCTCCAGCGGCCGGGAGGGGGGGACAGCGACACGCTGCTCGTCCCGTCCGACTGCACACCCCGACCGCACCAGCGGGCCAGACACTCAGCGCCGCCGCCGCCGCGCTGCAAACCGCTCGGCTGGAGCTCCGGGCTCTGGGCTGGCTCGAAAGTTACTGCCGGCTCCGAGCGTCCCTCCTCCGCCGCCGCCGCCTTCACTCCTCCTCCGCCGCCGCCAGCCCCGCCGCCTCGCTCCGGGCTGCGCGTGTGTGCTGGTTATTTATTTATTTTCTGAGCACGCCTCCCGGTTCTTCTTTTATTCTTGGGGACGGGGCGGGGGATGGGGAGGAGAAGCGCACGCGAGCACCCACCCCGGCACCGACACCGGGCGCCGCGCAATGGAGCCCCCACGCGCGCACACGGTCGGGATTAAGACCGATCACATGGGGAGGGCCGGGGGCGAGGGAGGAGAGGCAGGGCCGTGGATGTCAGCGCCGCCAGCCGCGCCTCGGCGTCCCGGTGGCGGAGAGGCGGCTGCCGCTGCGGCCGCCGCTGCTTCCCCACGCCGATTGTCGCCGGCCGCCGCCGGGGCCGCGGCCACCGTGGACGTCCCGCCGCCGCGCTCGCCCGCGATCCTCCTCTGCCTCTCGGCGCCGCTGCTCCTCCACGCGTAGGCAACAGCCGCTGAGCTCGGTGGACAGAGTCCGGGGCACAACCTCGCCTCAGCCGCCGTGCCGGCCGCCGCCACCACCGCGCCCGCCTCCGCCTCCTCCCCTTCCTCCTCGCCGCCCCCGCCTCCAGCGCCGGGGCCACCTCCTCCTCGGGACCCGCCTCCCTGGGCCCGCCCCCACGCCGTTGTTTCACAATCTCATAGGCTGCGGCGTGCGTCCCTCACCGCTAAGGCGGTGGTCTGTGCTGCCGCCCCGCCTCCTGCTCTGTTTTCTCCAGGGTGCCACTGGGTCCCCCGGGCCTGCAGCCTCCACCGCCCAGTGGCTGCTCAGGTGTCCCTGAGGTGGGCAGAGTGGAGGGAGGCTGGACCGGGGAACACGATCCAGGAGGAGCTGGCCTGCGGCGTGCCGCCACGCCTGCCCGCCCCCTGGGTCCTGCACACACACTCCCGGGTGTGTGGCGGCGGCAGCGAGTGTGTGAGTGGCCCGCCGAAGTGAGATCGGAGACCCGGGAGGGAGGAAGGAGGAGCGCCCGGAGCTCCGGGCCGCGGCGCAGCTGCTGTGGCTGCCGCAGCTGTCCAGGGAGGATCGCCAGGACGGCGACGAGTAAACAGCTTACCTTGGGGAGGCGGCTCTGCCTGGGCTAGGTGGACGCGGGTTAGAGCTGGTGGAGTGGTTAGGAAGCGTGCACAACTTCACGGGAAGAGGGGCTTTCTGGAGAAAGTGTGTTTTGGGTGCTGTGGGAATCTGTGGCTGGTTATCCAAGGTAGGGGACAGACGGTCTGGAGTCTATGCGACCTAGGCTATGCTCAGTGATCCAGGACGCCCTCAAGTCTCCTACGAGATAAACGGAATCGGAAAAACACAGGAGAGGCCGCTTTTTCCTTGTTCACACGTGTAAGCAGTCACTGGTGGGGATAGGTGACACTAAAAATCTTGCTCCTTCCAGTTAGTCACTTGGTGCTCAAATTGTGCGCAGGGCCCTGGAGCCTTGCTCAGGTATCTCAGCAGTCCCTCATAAGAAGAAAAGTAAGGAGCCAGGCGATGGTGGTGCACGCCTTTAATCCCAGCACTCGGGAGGCAGAGGCAGGGGGATCTCTGTGAGTTCGAGACCAGCCTGGTCTACAGAGCTAGTGCCAGCACAGGCTCCAAAGCCACAGAGAAACCCTGTCTCGAAAAACCAAAAAGAAGAAGAAGAGGAAGAGGAAGAGGAAGAGGAAGAAGAAGAAGAAGAAGAAGAAGAAGAAGAAGAAGAAGAAGAAGAAGAAGAAGAAGAAGAAGAAGACAGATAATGAAAAGGTGGTGTGGTTCAGTTAGTTGCTTTCAAAGGGCTCCGGTTTAAGGAAGATTCTCTTCAGGAAGGGCTCTGGATACAACGTTCTAGAACCCTGACCTACCTCAACTCCAGGGACCAGCAAGGAAATTGTGAAGAAGGCTGAATAAATTTCTAACTCTCATCCTTCCTGTTTTCAAATTCCCTCAATATCAGGGTTTTCCTATTTCCTGAATTGGACTGTGGGCCCAATAAACATTTTAGGAAGCTAGGGGATGGAGAACTGTTTTGGCGACCGGGATTAGATTAAACTCAAACCCGAAAAAAAAAAATAAGTTTTAATAGCAGACTGGTGGCGCTGAAGTATGACAACTGTGTAGCTTCAAAGAATTGGAGCAGACACTAGACAGAACAACCCTGTAGAGGCCTGCGACCCAAAGGAAGAGATGGAGTGGGTGGGGACATCCCACCAGCAAAGGGAGGCTGTTCCCGGTGGGTGGCCAGATTCTGCTGCCAGCTCTGCAACTCAGTGGTCCTTCCATAAATTCGTGTAGTACAGTGGAATTTTCAGGGACTGTAAAACTACCTCCAAGAGGTTTGTATAATCTACCCCTTTAGGGGTTGTTGCGAACAGCTCCTGAGCAAGAGCAGAGCTAGCTGCCAAGGCAGATTTGGGAAGCTGGTCCCTGGCCAGGTGGCTGGCAGAGAGGGAGGTTGCCAAGACCCGTGGGTGAAGAGGGCCTGCTTCAAGAAAGACTAGGGAACCTTATCTGGGGATACTCACTTTCAAGGCCTAGATTTGCTCACCCACACGCTGCCCACAGATGCTGTGCAACTGGGCACAGGAAAAAGCCCCCTTGAAATTGGATGAGAGGCTGAAAGTGACCGCCACATTGAAAAGTTTTATGATAGAAATGGGAACTAAAGGCACGCCTTTCAGACAGACCCTTCAGTCCTCCACTAGAGCAGCACCTCGCTAAGGGATATGGGGGGGGGGGGATGAATCGTGATCACGTTACAGCACATCTTCCTATTACCAGATACGCTTAGCGCCTGCATATTGTAATGCAGACACATCTTAGGTAAAGTTGGACTCTAAGTACTGTGCCCATCAACCAGGAACTATACTCAACCAGACAGCCAAGGCACCTGCTAGTCAGATGTCCCTTCAGACAGACAGCTCTCTGCTATTGCCACCCTGGTTTCTCTTTATTCCTAAATCCTGTTACACTCCCCAAATAGTCCATGTCTATATTCCCACTGACAAAGATTAACTTACATTAGGAATTCTCATTTTCAAGGTGATAACTTCAATTGTCAGGGACTGACTTTGGAAATGTCCTTTGCTCATGAAGAAAAAGTAAGATTAAAAACATTGATAAAACAGCGTTTCAATCAGGCAGTGATGGCACACGCCTTTAATCCCAACACTCCAGAGGCAGAGGCAGAGGCAGAGGCAGAGGCAGAGGCAGGTGGATCTCATTGAGCTGGAGGGCATCCTGGTCTACAGAGTGAGTCCCACAGGACAGTCAGCTCTACACAGAGAAACCCTGTCTAAAATAAATGAATGAATGAATAAATAAATAAATAAATAAATAAATAAAAGCATTTCATCCACTAAGAAAAAAAAATACATGCTTCTTTTCCTTCCTTAGTTTAATTCTCCTTCCTTAGTTTAATTCTCTTTAGGAAGCAGCTTTCCAGTTGGGAAGTCCATTTCCCAATCTGACCATGGTATATCTGTATAATTAGTTTTTGGTATTGATCATATGAGCTAAAGTGGTCTGTGACTTGCTGACCAGAGTGATGGGGTAGCTGAGCCACATCCTTCCATCAGTAAACCTCTCTTTGGCTGCATACAGAGCCACGTAAGACCCTGGTATGGGCAGAATATCAGATGAATGGAGCCAAGTCTTGTAATTACCACATCAAGAAATGCTCACCTACTAAGACAGATGGCGAGAGTGAGAGGCTTTTTCTGTAAAAAGAAGTAATCATTTTTGTGTTAGTCTGCTAGGATTTATAAATGTATTCATTAGGAAGTTAATATACAATAGTTACTTTATTCCAAAGTGAAATATCTACTAAAATACAAAAGTGCTACATCACTGTTACATAAGAGCAACCATAAGACTAAAAACATCCTCCTCTGTTTTTAATACGTGAACATCCAGTCTTCATTCCTGTAAATGAACAATTCATTTGCTAGTTGTGTCTTGAACAACTGTGCACAGATACTGGCTCCCTAGTCAGCATTTTCTTTGGGCCGCCAACCAGCTCCCAAATAAAGGCACGGAGACACATTATTAGCTATGAATGCTTGGCCTTAGCTTGGGCTTGTCCCACGAGCTCTTTTAACTTAAAATTAACCTGTTTCTGTTCATCTACATTTTACCTCAGGGCTTTTTACCTTGCATTCCATATGTCCTACTTTCCTGCTTCCTCTGTGCCCAGCTGGCTGGCCCTGGCATCTCTTAGTCTTTCTTCCCCCAAGCCTAAATTCCTCCTCCTACTTACTCTCTCTGCCCAGAAGTCCCGCCTATACCTCCTCCTTCACTATTGGTCATTCAGCTTTTTATTAGACCTATCCGGTACCTTAGACAGGCAATGTAAAACAGCAACACATCTTCACATAAGTAAACAAATGTAACACATCTTTATATAGTAATACAAATATTCTGTAACATAAGCAAGTACAAGGTATCTTTACATTAACACATCTTTACATAGTTAAACAAATATTCCACAATGTGGCTCAATGGGATTTAGTTCCTTTTAGTCTATTCATGTGTGTGTGGGTCTTACACACATGCTATCTTTGCAGATATTGATTTGCAAGGTTCTGCTTCCACACAGAATAATTTGCCATTTGCTTCATGGATGAATATTGAATAACATGTTTGAGGGAAGATATGTAGGTTTGGGATCCACTGCATTGAAATGATCCACACAGTTTTCTCCCACTGGTGAAAATCATAGGCAATGAAAAATAAGTTTTATTTTTTATTTTGTGCTGTTCTGGTCAGGTTTTGGTTTTTGTTTTTTTTGTTTTGTTTTGTTTTGTTTTTCGTTTTTGTCAGTTTCACACAAGCTAGTACCAACTGAAAGAAGGAATCTTAACTGAGAAATTGCCTCCATAGGATTGGCTTGTAGTCACCTCGTTTGGCATTTTCTGGACTAGTGATTGAGATAGGAGGACTCAGTCCACTGTGAGTAGTGACACCACCCGCAGTGGTCCTGGGATGGTAGAGAAAGCAGAGACAGCCACCCAGGAAGAAGCCCTCCCCCTTTGCTTTTCCTTCAATCCCTGCCTCCAGGTTCCTGCCCTGCTTGAGTTTCTGCCCTGGCTTCCCTCACTGCTAAACTATTACCAGAAAGTATAAGAATTAATAAATATATTCTTTCCTTTGAAAGTTGCTTTTGGTCTTGTTGTTTTATCCCAGAAATAGAAACACTAAGACATGTGCTTTGTTAGTTCCAGAGGAAATAAATAAATAGGTAGGTAGTGGATAGATAAATAAATAAGAGAGGGAGAGGGAAAGGAAAAGAGAAATGAAGAAAGGAATATTCTGCATTCTATTTTAGAGAATAACCTATTTTTCAGATTTTGGAAATTTCCTTGGTTCTTTTGGGATGAAACCAACTTAGATACCCTTACTCAGTTACTCAGCATTTTGTTTCTGCATTCAAAAACAGAATTTCTGTTTCTGCATTCAAAAGGGAAATTGGATTATAGTTTTTCTTCATTGTGTGTCATTGTCCAGTTTGAGTATCAGGGTAATGCTTGTTTCATA